CTTAGCCCTAGTTATGAACCTGTAAATTTTCGGATAGTGAGGGCGATAGTGAGGTGGAATACAGGGCAGTAACTTTTTGAACTGAAACCCTAGTGCGCTAGCCCTTATATTGAGTTCAGCACACATATGGCTTGGTGGGGGCATCTTGCTGGCTCTCTTGGACCAGTGCAGGATCCTTCTATGGTGACCTGTGAACTCATGTAAAGCCATGTAATATCGCGAGCTTCTTCTACACTCGATAAAAGCTTACGAGTCTTATCAAGGTAAAACATGTAAGTTATAACAGTAACTGATACAAGCACAACTACCTAGAATTCTTGAAGTTGAACTTCTTTCATTTCTGTTCATTGGAATTACAGCTCTTTCCGTATTTCTCGTTTATTTTTCATTTCATCCAAAAAATCCTTGCAATAATTCTTTGTAGAATCTGCAGCTTGTTCCACTGAGTAGTGATGTTGGGATAAAAAGTCTCGGGAAGAAGGGCAGGGAGATAGATGATTGTGGGTATCATGAGCGGCCGAAGTAGCAAAAACATGGATTGAAGAAATGTGCTGTGTTCTTTGTTACTTTACTGCGAAAAATCTGATGGACGGTTTAGTGGGGCCAAATTGAGGTGGTTGGAAGTAACTCCGTCCAGGCTTCGATTGACTCTGTCGTGGGCCACATTAGCCAATCATTTCAGCGTATCGAAAAGAAGGGACTTTCCCACTCAGTATATTTTTAGGCCTGGCCCCGCCTAAATGGCGACCTTGGATTGCGCTTTTCTGGTACCTCTGTGGAATGCTCAAGAAAAGTCACTGAAGAAAGAAGTAGCGTCGTCCAAAAAGCTCGCCCCCTTTCCCTCCAACACGGCAATACATCCGCAGCGAACGAGACTACAACTCACGGCTACTCTCGCTATTATTCTGTTTCCCACTAAAATATCGTGTAGACTTGGGAGACTTGATCGGCTGGGGCGGAGATCGCGATCTTGGAAGGATCGTGCACTTTTCAAACTGCCACAGATCGCGCGGTCTCGAGGTTCAGAAAAGCCAGGCGCGTTCGGGGATGGCGACGGGGGGCATTTTGCACCTTAAAAGACTTCCCATCGACGTGTCGACCCATCTAGACAGCCTCTTCTCGAGTTGACAGGTTTTACCATGATGGCTTGACGAGCTTGCTCCAGCTTCACAAGAGTTCACAGGTTTTAGGCGCAGAGTGAGACTCTGTAACCAGAACTAGTGAAGTAACAAAGTTGCAAAATGCAAGCCCACGCCGCCCCCCGCGTAGGCAAATCTGCGCCCAGAAAACCATCTACCTTTAAAGTTCTTGCAGGGGCGTGGGTAACAATCTGTTTCCCTTAGAACTGGAATGGGAATTTTAGTTTTTTTTCACCCAAGTAATCTCACCGATCGGGACATCTGGACTAGATGGCTATTTGGAGCGGTTCTTTCAGACGTTGTCGTAGGATTCCCAACAATCTGTCATTTCCGGGACGTAATCGCGTATGCTCTCTGTTGCAATCGCTCCTTGATCGAGTATCGTTGTGCCGATCCATCTTTAGTTTAATGGACTCGGTTACGGGCGCGTGGCCGTTAGTTCTAGCTATTTCTGGCGTTGGGCAGCTGCGATGAACGACTTAAGGGGACTGGTGATCGGATAACAGAATTGATCACAGGAACGTATGACACATATCTCCGCTTTCGATCACACCTTGTGTGTGAACGGGTAAATAATGGTGGTGGGATTGAAATGGCTATGGTCGATCCGCCCACCTCCCCCCCCCCCCGCCATTCCTCGAGAAGGATATTCGATGACGACGTCTTCGCGTCAGAAACCTTCTACCACTGCACTAGTGCACGGTCGCCGCGGCGGTAAGCGTGGAGTGCGGGTACAACATACTGCCAAGCATCAAGCCTTTAGGGCGCGTTCTACTATAGGGGGGGGAGGGAAGGGCATTGGCTAGTTCCCATGGCTCACAGCGAATGCCTGCTGGCCTTCTGCGGAGACCAGCAGTTCTGGAAAGCCATTGCTTGGGAACCCCGAGCGTACGTACGACGTGTACCCGCGGGAAAAAAAATATTTGGTCCATACCCATGCTGACATCCTTTCCTTCCACTTTTCTACTACAACCACTTTTCTTCCTATTTGTCAGACTTACTAATACTCGCTGAATGAGTCAATCGAAAAGGCCGTACCAGAGTCTTACGCGCCCGGAAACTATTGTCTTTCATCAATCAGGCGGCGCCATTTGATTGGATTCCATTTGAAGAATCAGAATGTTCAGTGGGAACTATGCAGTTCGCACTGATTTGCTCCCTGAAAATCGTGAATAAGTGGGATCACTAAAAATGGGCCATGACACCCTCTGGGGGATATTTTCGCTTCGACAAGGCGTTCACTCAGATTCGATGCAGAAATAATGTCGGTTTTTCTGACTACGACAGGAGCATTTATTCCTCCAATGAAATAATAAATCCACTAATGTTCCAAGCGTGATTGCCCACGTTATTTATTGAATCGAATAATCTTTCCGGGACTTTGTCGGCTTCTTTCCGATGAGAATCGGGTTTTTTTTCTGAAAGCAAACCCTTTCCTAGGGTTATTATGAACTTCAGTGGGAAGGTCACTTTGGCTCCGTGAAAAACGAACAATATTTTCGGTTCTTGAGTTTATTCCGTTTTCCCTCTTTTGCGTGCGCTATGCCCTCGCTCCCTGTCTCTCGAAGGCAGTTTTTGAGGGATAGGGGGACAGGGCCCATTATCGTTGGGGATTCCCCAACAATTAGGGGGGGGGGGTGTATTTGGTCGCTGGGAAAAGGTGGGTCGTATCTGGTCTGAGAAAATTTTTTTGAAAGTTGATTTTACTGGTGCCACGGACGCTATGAAGGGGGATGGGTTCGTATTCGGTCGTAGGGGACAGGGCCCATCATCGTTGGGGATTCCCTACCAGGGGATCGTATTTTATCTCTGGGGAAGAGGTTCGTATTTGGTCCGAGGACAATTTTTTGATAGTTGATTTCACTTGTTCCACGGACGCTATAAGGGTAGGGGGGTTCATTTGGCCGTTGGGGACAGGGTCCATCATCGGTGAGGGAGGGGAGGTTTGCATTTGCTTTCTAGCTTCTTGAGAGAGGTCGTTGATATTCGGTGTGGTTTTCATGTTTTACTATATACTCCCCCAAACCTTTCGCTCGACCAAATACGAGGAGGGAACTAGGCGGGGGAGGTCGTATCAAGCACCTCTCAGGGAGGGGGTCGTACGGACTGGGCCAAAATCCCCAACCGTTCTGAAATAGTGTCCTGAAAGGGGAGCAATATTGAGGAAAATTTGCGGGAAAAAAGGTACAGAGTTAACGAAGATGATAGGTAGGGTGGGGAAGGAGGGGAGCCACTCGCAGAGGAGAGAGATTTGGGAGGTAGGTCGTAGTCTGCAAAATGTTTCCCACTAGTAGGACATGAACTGTTGGGAAGGCTCAGCTCAAGAAAGGGCAGATTCACCTTCTTGGAATCATCGATAGCGCTTTTTATTCGAGTGTACTCGTGGAAAAACGGGGTAGTTTGAAATTATCTTTCACAAGCCCTTACTTAGGGTGTCATCTCAGAAATTCTGTCTCCAGTCTCTCATTCGCGCTGCACTGTCTCGCTTCTTGGGATACTCGTCCAATCCGAGGCTTTACTTAGAGCGTCTTCTTGGAAGTTCTACTCTCTTTTTTGAGGCAACTAGCATCTGCGAACTCATAGCTGGACCTCAAAGTCCACTACTTGTGACTTCGAGACGTGTTTTTTATGAGCATCCAACTACGTTCTCTTTTTTCAGCAGTGATCGGGGTCTTATGAGGTACAACACTGATCAGCATTCTCAAAGGAAAAAGGGTTGTCTCACCACGAAATTTCCGGGCTGTTTTAGGAGGAACTAACTATGTGGAGTGTAGCTGAAAAACGTCATTTTCTGCTTTTTTTTATGCCTATCGAAGAACCCTTCTCGCACAGATTTTTTCCCAATCATCTCTCAATTTGTCCCCCTCCCCCTATCTCGTTTCCTCCGATAGGGTCCACAGCGTCCAGATAAGGAGAATGCACACTGACTGAATAAAATTCTTCCGTAGTAGAGTTGTCTTGTGAATGACTAGGGGGGTTTTTATTGGTGAAGCGCCAGATTGCGGCGCACTTTTGACAGCACCTGTAGCTCGTTATCGTATCACACTGGTGTTTTATTGGTCATTTCGTGGCGAAGGACGTGTGGCAGCCGATGACAAGCCGTGTCGATTCGCTAACATACTGAGCGACCTCCTCAATGAGGTGCCAGAAATAACACGCTGCTATCAAGCGAAAAAGGAGAACTCGCCAGGTTTCAGCTAGAAATTCCATGAAAGAAGCCGTTCATACTCCCCCACAGCCCACGCAAATAGGCCCGTGGGCACAGTGAACTTCCGCTAAATGCCGCGCTGTATATGGTTGTCTCTGTGTCGTAACGTACTTACTTAACACGTCAACAACCTTCTTAACACGTTTTTCCTATGAACATGGTGATCAATTAATTCATCGAGAAATCAAAAAAATTAAATTAAAAAATGAAAATAAATTCCGTATAAAATATATAGTTAAGATCAATTGTGGGATCCCGTACAACAATGAATTATGTAGAAATATAAAAAACGTGACGAAACGGTGTTAATCGAAGTGGTAGCAAGCTTAGAATCCGAAATCTGTGATAGGAGGGACACTGTTCAACCAACCGCATCGCAGCCACGCCTCTTGTTGCCTCAGGTATGGGCTGCAAGCAAACCTCAAGCATAGTCACCCAAATGGTCTGTCATGTTAACGGGCTGCTTGAATTCGATCCAGCGCTATTCAGTTTGGTGGTGGAGGGCATTTTGCACTTACGCTAGTTTCTTTTACTAGTTCCCTGAGACCTGTAGACTCTTGTGAAGCGCGATCGAAGCTCCTGCTTTTGCATAGCTCCGCAGGAATTTATCAGCCGTGCAATATATCTCGTATCCCAATTAACGTATATCTTACATGGCAGAGAATGTAAGTGTCCCAGGGTAGGGTTACCCGTGAAAATTCACAACCAGTACGTAGAAGATTACTTCTACGCTGTGAGTCAGCTAAATATTTCCCTCTACCAATGAATATTCAGCTGAAAAAGCGCAATTCGACTCCAGATGTTCGTGTTGTACAAACCCCGCCCACAGGTCATTGAACACTCCGTGATAGTATGCTACTGGCTTGTCTAGGAGGGACTCTCTAGGTAGAAGCCGATGTAAAACATTATGGATCATGCCATTTGTACCGTCATTTCTGGGGAAAATATCGGGTGCAGTGTGCTTGGAGGGGGCGGGGTGTAAAAGGGCACGCCGTACATTTGAGAACTCCCAGCGAGGTGTTGTATTTGGCTTAAGGAAGTTTTTTTTACAGTTGAACTCTCCTGTTTTGCGCGCGCTATCTATTACATCATTGGAAGAATTCCGGTAGGTTGGGGAACGACCGTTGGGGGAGAATGGGAAGGAGGGTCGCATTTGCTCGTCTGAGAGAGGGCGAGGGGGGGAGGGTCATATTTTCTGGAAATTTCTCCCAGCAACAGGAGGTGCTTCGCTATAGAGGGATCATTCTGCGATTTTTTGTAATGCTTCAGTAATCGGCAGTTTTCTTAGGAAAGGCTGTGACGTTTAGGGGTCTTTTATCATTTAGTAATTTAGTATTAGAAAGAAGCGAGCACATATCAGGGGAAAACTCACTCGTGCCTCCCCCCTCTCCTTTCACCTTCGAAAAATTTTGTGTTACTGTGCGGTACGAAAACCTGCTTCCAGAGGCATATGCAGTCTTGTCAGCCCCCTGATACCTCTCGTCGAACTGCGGCGATATCTACTGTGTATATGCTCCCTAGGGCTAAGTTTCGGAAAAGCGCTGTAAGAAATCTACAAAAATTAGCTTAAAGCATTCCTCATCACAGTTACCACTAAGGAGGGGCATCGTGCTCTTCTTCGTTAGATAGCCAATGAAGCGGTAATTTCAAGGGTAAACGAGCTCTGATCTGGACAAGTAAGCGTCGCATCACCGAATGATGTAACCCATATCCACCCACGCAAACCCAGAAGTAAAAAATCTACATCGATTTATTTATTCCGGTTGCCTCCTTTAGAAGTTTGCGTTTTGGCCTGCTTTTGAACGCACAAGTACATAAATAAATAACTAATTGATGAAGGATAAACTCTTCGTTGTTGACCAATCCCTTTGTGGGGTGCGGCACGCACTCTATTTTTATTCAGAATCGTAGGGCTTATTGTATGCGAGGTGACCTATGCAAGGACTTGGGAGGGTCACCCGAGCCAGTGTTCTTATTCTCGCGGACAAATACCAATTTAGCACCCCCGGAGTGTAGAAGTTGGTTGGCCTGGGCTGAAGCCGATCCCGGATCTGATCTTCGGACCATGGAGCATGGTAAGCGTGCCACTTGCCACCACACTTCCGCCTGATTAATTAAGCAAACAAATGAACAAGTTATCGCTAAATCAGCAAATAACTAGATAAAATACAGGAAATTTGTGGACTCAACCCCTATGAGGAACATTGTACACCGAACGTTGAGGATCGTCAGCGAGGGGATCATACTTGCCTTTGAGAAAGACGTTCTCAGTTGATGTCTGGTTTTTCCTGTCTAAAATGCGCTGTAGTGCCGCCTCCCTCCCCCACCCCTATTGACGGCACCTTTCAGGGATGAACTGGAAAGTTTTTGAGGAAAAAACTTAGGTAAATAGCACGAAGTCGGGAAAATTTGGGGAGCTGTGGATGGGGAAGGGGTCGCACAAGGCGAGGAGTTTTTGAGGAGGGGGGGGGGCGTATTCCGCAAACATTTTTCTCAACGGCAGGACGTGGCCTAATGCTGAGTCGCAGAGAGCGTTGAACTCTGAACTAGGGCGAAGAATCGGATTTCCATGGGTCTTCTCGTCCCAGGTGTATCGCCATCGATATTACTGCCCTAGGGAGTAAAAAGCAGAACCACTGGGTTTAGTTTGACCCCTCGGCTCCCTCCTTCCCGTAGCAGCTTTGTAATCTATTAAGAGCATATAGCGGTGGAAAAGATCGCGGAAAAAGATTCCTCGCACTTGGCGCTACCGCGAATAGCGTTTATTACCTGTTTTATTAGATGCCTCTTGCACTTTCAACGAGCATAAAACGATAACTGAGGTGAGATTCCCAACGCCATTGTTCTCGCCGGGTGGGCAATTTTCGCGAGTTGGTCGGTTTTCTTACGGCTACTCGTTAACGATCTGTTTCTTCGACGCCTTCGTAATCGGCGATTATCGGCTTAATAATGACATCGCTGAGTAATCTATGATGGTATGACGGAGCAAAGCACAATCTGGACGCCGAAATTCCGCTAAAAATGTGCAGCACTTTGGGTTGGGGGGGGGGGGGGGGGCGAATTCGTACTGGTACTTCTCACAGTTTCCCACAGTGGGCGGGGCTTGACCATAGTGGGAGGGGCTAGAAGTGAGAGAGGTTGAAAGTGTCGAAAATTTTTGAAAAAATCGTAAATTCTATAAAAGTGGGCGAAGTTTGATCAAAGTGGACGGAGCTTGTGTGCTTGTGTGCTGAAGGTCCTCAAGTGGCACAATATTACGCGTCATCAGAATCTCTATGATAGATGAAAAGTAAGAAAAAACTAGTATAGATGCAGTATCAGCAAAAAGGGGGCAGAGTTCTTTGGGGGGGGGCCATGTATGTGGCAAGGAAGATGTGCGGTAGGGCGCCTCGCGCAAGACTGGGTAACCCCGCATCGCGCAAGATGTAAAAAATCTCAACGCCACTCAGCGCGCAGGGAGGGGAAATTACGCGAGTGTTTGCTGTCGGTGTCAAACAAGATCAAGGTAAGGTAGAGATCTGGAAAGATACTAAAGAAGCATGAACGTACTAGCCAGCTCTCGAGAATCGTTTGATAGAGACTACTGTGTCAACCCTGAAAAGTATATCTGCACACCGCCCCCACCCCCAGATAGGTACTATGCCGAGAGATTTTAAAGAAATAAGGTTTTTGAAAATATCAAGACGTAGGGTAGCATAGGTGTACGAGACGCAAAACGCCCTCGAAGATCCGACAAGCGCGCCACCCGCAAAATGTTGCTCTTCCTCCTGTTGACTGAGTAGCCCTGGGAGTTATTGTATAGGTAGGGCACTTCTTGACTTTGGAAAGGACTAAGCCCCCGCCCTCAAAAGCTTCCTCCTCTTGCACGACCCCCCCCCCCTTCCCATCCTCCATCCCCAGCCACCCACTTAAGTCTCCATAGTTTCCTCACTTTCCCACCAATTTTCGCACTTCCGTAAACTTTCCCCAGTTTTTCCCTGCCGAGCGGGGAGAAGAATGTAAGGCGCATTTCAAAACGGGAAAAACGGGGAAAACTCAACAGCGAAAACATTTTCTCAACAGCAATACGAGCCCCCCTGCCTCCCTCCCCCCCCCCCGCGCCCTCGCCTAGGAATCGCCAATGTACGACTCGCCGCCTGGTCCGGCAGTGTTGTTAAAGGCAAATTCTAAGTATGAGGCACACGCTAGGCCTACGCAAGTCACGTGTACAGGCGTCGTGATATGTGAGGATGGTAGCATTAGTGCAGCTCCCCTCCCCTTCCCCGCGGCGTGTACCTCCACTTTCCTCCAAGTTCCCAGCTTGGCTGGGGTGTGGGCGGTGTATAGCCAGCTGTGAAGGCGAGAAACGAGCGAAAAGTCAACAATCGTAAAAATCTTCTCCCCAAACACGGCAAATGTTTCGTTCCCGAAGACAACGTACATCCCCTCCCCTCTCCCAAGCAACGACCGAATACGAGCTTCTCCCCCTCTGCCTCAGGGCCCCATGTGTTTCACACAACAATGCATGCACCCTGCACCAAGTGTGCCGTTCTTATGCCTTCACTTCCTTCTTCCCCTTGAAAAAGACTGAGAAAAACAGCAATAGACCGCCGTTTTGGAACAAGTTGATACATCGAGCAAATAAAGGGCTGCATAGAGGTAGTCTTCCTCGCTGATGTCAGTTTGGGGCGTGTCAGAGCGGCGCGGAGTGTGGCACAGCACTCAGCATTCCTTTTTCCCAGGTCTCTCATTGAGAACCTCTGAAGCTCATAGCGGCTCGCCTGGCAAACGGCTGGCGCTGCATTAACCTGCCTTCAATTGACAACTCCTACTACGAGCGTTGTTGTAGCGGTGCTGAGCAACTTGCGAGTTCGGATCCTTCGTAGTGAGCCTTCTGTGCCCGAGGATGACGTCAACGTGAGCTCAAGCAAGCAGGGAGTAGAACGAATTGAGTGAATTTGTCGATTTCAAGATTATTGTTTTTTTCTCATGCACAGCGCAGTGATTTACGCAACGTGTTCAGAAATGGTAAGTACGGACAACACAACGCGTTTCAGGTTCCTATCTTCCACTTTAACCAACCATCTATGTGGGCTGAACCAGCTAGAAGTGGAGTTAAATTGGTTCGATCATGACCGCAATTACGTACCGCATCCATACGCGGAATATTCAGTATCAGTTCAAGTGGTGTAGGGGCATTGTTTTTTTTGGTGGCCCATCTGCATAATCGGATGCCTTATCTGTGAACACTTGTGAACTATTGTAACGCTATGCAGTAGCACTAGCTACGTTTCTAATTAACAGTCGACAGGTCTCACCAAGGTGAGACCTAAGCCAACTAGGAAGCCCCTCCCGCCCCACACAAGCCTGAAAACCGGCCGTGGCAGGGAAAAGTGACGGAACTTGCAAATGCGTCATTACAACAGCTCTGAGTTTAGAGATTGCTTTCAGGTTAATGAAGGTGCTTCGATGCCGTTGCAGTGGAAAAACATCTACATACTGCCGGAGCATTCGCGTTTCAACGTTTCCAACAAGCAGATTACGTTTTCGGTATGTTTCCTAGGACGTGCCCATGCGTATGTGGTGGGCGTATGTCACGGCGAGGTAGTTGGAAAGCGTTTCCATATAGGGGGTAGCGGAGAACTGATGAGGTTAGATTGGCGGGGGAGCGAAGCAAAATGGTGTTACCAGTGTGAAACATTTTTATTTCGAATCGGTTCTTCTAAAAAAAAGTGGAATAAAAAATTTTGCGTCTGGGGCTGGCAACTGTTTGGCGTAGAGCGGCGATGCATCGAGGGCTCCGCCTTTTCACCAGACATCAACGCAATTGGAAAGGATGCGAATCGCAGGCTAGAATCTCAAACTACCCAGCTGCATCTGTCCTCTGTTCCGGACCAAAACTAAACGAGCTTCATTCCGGGGAGAGCAACGACCCTAGAACTGCCAATGTAAGCACCTGTATCTTCAATATGGTCAAATTCTTAGAAGGCAGGCGGAGCTTCCCTGTAAGTTGGGCGGGAGCTACTCAATGTATGGAACCGGAGTTTAAGGTGTTGGTATCATAAGGGTGAGACTGTGGAGTCACGAAAACGAAATTTCCTAAGAGAGACGCTCAAGGTTGGCCGTGGTTCAAGAGGCGAAGATAAAACAGATACTCGAGACCGAAACGTGGTAAACAGAACTCGTAGACCGAAACTGGGTACAGCATCGTGTTGTGTGAAATGGTAGTGTAGGTACGATCCCCCTCCCCAACACCTACCTACCAATTTCCCGCATTTTCCAGTTTTTCACCCAAAGATTTTTTCAAGCGGGGGAGAGGGGGAGTACGCATGAATCAGGAAAAATCACACGAAAAATTTTTTCCCAGCGCAGTAAATTGCTCTTGAAGGCACACAGGACCCCCCTCTGTCAGCGACTAAATGCGACCCTCTCTCCAAGCGGCCAAGTACAACCCCCCCCCCCTATGTGTTTCACACAACGATGCTGTACCCTGTACAGGCATATTTTTGCTGAATATAGTGGGTGTTTCAGTGCATTGTGGGACTTAAAAAAATGTATTTAGTGTTCAGTGGAAATATTTCAGATTGTAGAAGGACCTCATCATGGCACTCTATATTTGGACGGTCAGCCATGTGCCGCGTTCGATTATAGCCAATTACTCTCGCGAAGTGTCATTTACAGACACGACGGAAGCGAGACCACTCAAGATCAGCTGGAATTTCAGGTCAGATCCTTTTTTAACACTCCGTTTTGACCGCTTTAACATTTATGGAGAAGGGAGGTACGTTGACTGCTTTTGCAGAGATGTAGGCGGAGACAGTAAACCATGCTGATTCCTCATTGGTGCGCCTTTCCTCTGGTGATCAGCACGGGCGCACCAATGATGATCCATCAGCGTGTCTCTTTGATGAAATTGAAGTTTTTTTTCAATTTCAGCTGGACATTAACGGTAAGAGAACGGATTTCCCATGGTTGGATGCAACCACGTATATGCTGCGAATTCGCATCAATCCCGTGAATGATCCACCTGAACTTAGTGGAACCAAGGGAGTACATGTGATCAAGATATCGGCTAAAGGAAGGTAAGACGATTTCTGGAACTTTTTTTTGCCCACGAAAAAAAAACGTCCGAAATACAGTAAGCAATTTTAGAGCACTTCGAGTCGGTGGGGGTACTTTGCTAGTTCTCGACGATTGCTGGCGATGCCTTCTGCAGAGACCTTTGAATTCCTGTAAAGTTATGCAATAGCATGAGCTTCGTCTACACATGACAAGAGTCTAAAGGTCTTAACAAGGTGGGACGTGTATTTCACTAGGAACTATGGGAAAAAACGTGGCGTAAAACGCCCCTCCCAAGTCAAACAGCACCCAAATTATTCCATTGTTGACACGAAGGAGAGCAATCCTCGTCCTCGCAGAGTGTGCCCTGGAAACAAGATCTTGGCTTGTGAGCAGAGTGACCCTAACCGGATCTCAGATGAGACTCCTGAAGGAGGGCTTGCCTGGAATCTGTCGGGAATTTCTGCAGCTTCCAATAATTAGGGTCAGTTCAGGCGATAGCTCCTCACATTTCATCACTTTTGATTACCCGAATCTTTTTTTTTTCTACAAATCTTCTTCTAAGGGGGGGGGGGTGAGGGGAATAAAAGTTTTATGAGTCCTGCTTTCACTCTGAATCACTGCCAATTGAATCAGGGAGCGGTCGACACGCTGGCGGCATGTGGAGGGCAGCTGAGGGGGGGGGGTTGTTCGTCTTTGCTTCTAAGAAATATATTTCAGTTTTTGACTTTTCTTGATTATTTCCTTACGTGCGCTATACTCCTCGATCCCCCTCCCTCCCTTCTCCTCGGACCGCAGTCTTTGGGGAAAGAAAACATTGGAGAATTTCTCCGGGAAACTAGTAGGAAATTGAGAGAATTCAAGGAAAATGGCAGTAGCTTAGGGCGTTGGAGTCGTGGTCGGCAGCAGGAAACTTCCAAGTTTCTGCGGGAGGGAGGGGAGGTAGGAGGTGGGGGATCATATTTCGCAAAAGTTCCCCCTCCCCCCTCCAACGGAGTAGAACGGACGGGCCGTGTTGATGTTTCACCCTTCTCGGAGATCACAAACGCAATCATAACCTTTCAATTTTCAGTCGAACGCTCACATCTGATCACATCTTCTTTCGCGCATCGGATGAATGCGTCCAGATTAAGCGTCAGTAAAGTTTTCAATTTCCATTTTTTAACATGTTCGATTCCTTTATTTTCCATTGTTTTCTTTCATCTTGTTTTTCTTGCAAAATTCGTGAAGATATCTTTAATTCGTAAAAATAAGGGAACAAAATAATAATTGGCTGCTTCGTCAGGTCCGTGTTCAAGTGGTAGAAGCACGAGGAGTTCATCTACGCGTTGGAAATGTTACCGCTACGGAATTCACTCAACGACAATCATCACAAAGACTGGTGGGTTATCAGCGCACGTTCCATACCCTCGGGAATAAGTGGGCGTGGCTGCGCTCCGGTCGAACGTGACGGCGGCTACGGTTTGGTGGAATATTGCCGTTTTTGGACGTGCAATTATGGTCATGTCCTTGTCCAGCAGGATGTCAGTTGTCTAAAACGGAAATGTCCCATTACAAACGCATTTTACGCCATGTTCAAATGAAGTACGCTGCCACGCCCTCCCATTTCTGGGATATGGACTGTATTATGTGTGGAGGAAGTAGACTGCTCAACGACGCTGCGCTTCTGAGGAGATAAACGAGAATTCCGCTTATCTGGGAAAGGCTGCAAGCAAGGCGGTGTAGCTTCAAAATATTGCGCGAAACATGAATTTCCTAGTCACGTGTTACCGCGCTCCCTTATTGCTGGCGAATTTTAGCCACACCCATAGGCAGTTGACCACGCCCCTTTTCAGCAAACATCGCACATCTGTGATGGATATCTTCAATGTATTCCATTAACAAACTTCTTTTTAGGTAACTATTCATGATGAGGGGCATTCTTTGAAAAATGGAATTTCTTTCGACTTGTAGCGCGGAGATGGTGACGTCTCGATCACAGGTAATGACGCATCTTACAATCTTTCGTGTTAACTAGACAAACATCGCCGTGACATACATTCGTGCCAGCTCCCAGATTGGAACAAATGCTGCCTTTTTATGTGAAAAGTTGCCTTGCTGTTTTCTTGAAACTACGTAGGAATTTCGAGCTGGAAACTAGATGCGAAAATGTAGGCGTGGTGCTATCAAGAAACTCGTCCGAAATCGCTTTTTGTCGGCCGTATACTCGTCCAACGTTGAGCAAAACCAAGACTTTTCGCGGATTTTGACTGTTTCACTTCCCTTTTTCGCCAACTTCCCACTATACAGCGGTCCTGCTACAATTTTGGACCGCATACCAAATTATCGTGCCTTAGCCGTTAACCAAGCGATCTTTCTTCCAGATACTCACATTCCATACAATTAGCACACCTGTTGAAGTGCGCTTGAAGACAAACACCGGTGTTCGCCTTCTCCATCACTCATCAGCTCTCATCACATCACAGTGAGTTAGAGATGATTTCAGTTCTTTTAACTCTTGCCATACTTCTTGATCCTCTGTCTTCGTCCTGGTGCGTCTAATAAGCGCATAAATGTTAAGCAAAACAAATACTGGAGAAAAAAAGGAATAAATTCAGGCACTAGTAGCCTTGGGGGGGGGCAAACCTGTAACGCTTGTCAGCATACCGAGTGCTGTAAGCTGCATACATACATGTGAATACCGGACAACCTTGTCAACACGCTGCGAGCCTTGTAGTCACCTGCCAAGACCCCGTAAACTCATGTCAGACTTGTCAATATGACTGGTCAAGATTTGGAAAAAATGGAGAAATGGTCTTCCAGTGACACTAGGACCATTTCGCAATGCTTGACAAGAATTTACAGGACGTGCAGGGAGAAACATGATTGTAAGGTCAAAAGAAAAAAAACAAAGGCAGACACACGTTGACAAGTGCTTGCAGGTGTGACGCCCCTCCCCCCCCCCAAGATTATTAGCGCCTGAATTCATAGCATGCCTTTCAGCAACCTCTCCTTTACTGCATCGGTACCTGATTTGCCGCTGTCGTTCTCTATTGTTGGACTACCTGATCATGGTGTCGTCGAATGCAGTCCAAATGATGGCCATTTCGCTGTGTGCAGTACATTCACTCAAGAGCAGGTCTGACTTGTTGTAGCTTACACCTGTTGAAATGCGGGCCAAGAGATCCGTGTTGCGGCCGAGCGGGCGAATCGGTTGGTGCTGCAAGTGGCCTCGAAGGCGCGTATGGGTACTTGGTTTTTTTTAAAAATAACACCTGTAGCAACTTGCACCTTTTGGCGCCCCGCATCTTTTGACTGACCATGAGATTCATTACGAAATCTTTTTTTTTTTGGTTTTCAACCGCTGGCAATCGATAGAAGAACGAACATGGCGTGGACTACACTAGCACGCCTCTACAAAAGGATCGATGGCCTCGTCAGTAGAGATTTTGACGAGCTCATTGATACGGTTACATTCTCTGACATTGCTTTGACATCATGTTTCAGGTGGATCGAGGCCTTGTTCGATTTCGCCACACGAGTAGCCACCATCCAACCCAAGACATGTTCAGTTTTCAGGTGATCTTTGACAATTTTGTATGATATCTCGTTTATATAACTGTGAGGGCGACGGGAGGGGGGGGGGGCATTTGGGTTGGCTTCACTTAGTTCCGTTTACAAGTCTCACTATGGTGAAACCTGTGAACTCACGATGAAGCTAGAGCAAGCTCGTCAAGCCATCATGGTAAAAACTGTTCACTCGAGAAGAGGCATCTAGATAGGTCGATATACGCGCGATGGCGAAGCAGTTCGAAAGTGCAAAATGTCGCCACCCGACCGTCGCCGAACTTATGGCTGTTAGTATCTCAATAATTTTCATACTATTAAAGGGAGGATTACACGAGATACCCGAGGGCAAATCAACTCCCTCCACCGTCCTCATCAAAAGTCCGCGCTGGCGAAACATAGCCTGATGTATCGGAATTCGGCGGAGCCGCATCCAACAGGCCAGGATATGGAAGGCCGCGCCAGGGGCGCGTTTCCTACCATGGTGCCGTGTTCCAGATAGAAAGCAACTATGTGGAAAACGTCAACGGGGGGCTCATTCCATCGTGTCCTGCCCTCTCGCACCGACGCTCCTATCGGCGAGATATCAATTGTGAGTACACAAAAACTAACGATATAAATCGGCGTGGGCATACAAACATTTGGCACAGTTCCGCTGCATGAGGAGCACCAAAATGTGACTTAGCAAAACTTGTCACCAAGCGCATCTGTGATGACTGTAAGCTTCCGTGCGGCAAGAAAGTGACTTACTCACCTCGCATCCGGGTAGGGGTAGGCGTGGCTGCATGAACTTCAATAGACATAGCAGTGGCTGTGCAAGACGACATTTTGACAACAGTGGTCATCTCTTTGTCCAACACTGAGCAAGATTAACGGTTTTCCCCCAAATGAATTATCCCATGAGAAAGCTAGCGATTTCATGTTAGTTCATGGTTCAAACTAACCACCCTACTCCGTCTCAGGGATAGGGATTACACAGCATCACGGGAGTTTTCAGGTTCGACCAAAATGAAACCTGTTGGTTAACAGGACTAACAAGATGAACCAGCGCCCCAAAAAGCCCTCTTAGCCGACCGAGCGCCAAGGAATTGTTCACGACCTCAAAGCTCCCTTACTTAGTCGCGGTACTTTATCTAGTAAAAGGAAGGCGCTGTACATAGATAAGCTAGTCTCAGTGCAAGGCTGAGCCATAAGCATTTACTCGAACCGCCAACTGGGCGAATTTTAGTAGGAAACTGAAATGTGCTGGCGCAGATTCAAGACTACAGAGGCTGTTCACAGTCAAGCTTTTCCATTTGAAAGCATAATGCAGTACATACTTTCAGGTAGAATCTGGAGAATTCGTATCGATGATTCATAATTTTCGGCTTATGTTCATCCCAATGAATGTTAAGGTATGGCCATTTTCGGGAGTTGTTTATCCCCACAATCTGTCAGCTTGATGCTTTGAGATAGAACTGACTTTAAAAGGGCAGGTCGCGGCGCTCATCATATGGGCGGAGTCAAGACCCGCTAATGCTACAGCACTTCTTCATAAGTGGTTCCGCTATTTCGGTAAGGGAATCGCCAGCGGGAAGGTTGCCATGGTCAGCCTGAATCTGCCTATGCAGACCGGACGCGGAACTGAGCCTTGAAGCCGCTATCTTTGGTTTCATGTGTCAGGGCGGGCTAGTTTCAAATAGCTGAAGGCGATCCATAGGAAAACGTAGAGTTCTACAAAGCTTGGCCTACTACGCCTTCAATACGAGGCCATGCACGAGGCTTCACTGAGTACCATTAGGTGCCCCACCAAGCCGAACTCCAAAATGTGCCTTTTTTAATTATTAAATTTGAATGTTCAGGTGTTCAACAGAGAAGTGTTCATGCTGAATGGCACAGAGATCGGTACGTTGAACCGAGCGAATTTGTTCGCATGGACATTCCCAAAAAGCTATCCAGCCGAGAAACTCGTCTATCACATCGAAGAACCACCGAAGTACGGTATTTTATCGCGAAGAATCAATGGTAAGAAGTCGCAGAGAATTGTGTTTTCGTCACGAACTTCAACAAAGCGGTGAGCAATTCATATTTTTTCATTGAATTATATGGTTGGATTTCATTTTTTAAACTCACTAATTATGTTGAGTCGATTGGCTGTTGGTCAATTTCTGATTTATTTCCTTTTTCCTGTTTATCTCCACTCGTTTTTATGTTGCCCTATGACACTGCGTGCGTAGAGGGGGAGTTCTAGGCTCCCTACACCATAAACATATGCCCCATTTTCCGAGCTAAAAGGTGCGTCCTGGTTAAAAAGTGGTGTAGAGGCAAGTGGCGCGGTTCTGGGCCATTTCCGGATTGGCTCCCTGCCAAGCGCAAACCACGCACCAAACCTTTTTACCCGAAGAAGTCAGCTGATTGTCATTGGCAGTATTTATGATCCATTTTAATTCAGGCAACGTCCTATAACAATTGGGGAAGACCCCACCGCGATTAGTGTATTCGGTAACTGGGTGGAGGCGGGCGTATTGATCCAAGAAACCAAGAAAGATTTTTTGAATAGTTGATTTTCATATTTCATCGGGGGGTGGCTCACAGTCATCGCTGGAAAACTTTCAGTGGGTGGGGGGGGGAGGGGATCAAATTTGCTCCTGAGAGGAAATTGCCGCGTCCTGAGAAGATTTTCCCCGATTCTAGACTTCTCGATAGTTGAAACTAGTATTAGGTTGTTCGAAAAGTCCTGCGACACTTTGTTTGAACTATTCTAGAAAAAGACCAAAAATCATTTTGAATGTTTTTATCTCTGATTAGTGGAGACTGTCTCCTGAGGTTTCTGAAAATGGGTATATCATGGCTCCGTGGAAGTTTTCAAAGCTTAAAAATACCTCAAAGATCGAGGTACTTCTCGACCTATCCCATATTATGAGTTCCTGTAGGGCAACTCCCCCATAGTCGAGGAAGCTAACTCTTACGTTGTCTTAAGGAAGGATATCGCTTGCCATAGCAGAGAGTTCCTTTTGCATCAGCGCTTCCAGGCTGGACTTATTCAACTCGGAAGTAGGCAATGTATAGGTCGGCCACCAGCACAGAATGACGGCCCTTTACTCAAGCTTCTTGAGGCGCAGCCGAACGTAAACCACCAAGTGATAGTTGGCAACCTCTCTAGGCTCCACCTAACTGACAACTGCCATGCTTCTCCGCAGTCTCGGTTATCGGAAAAAATTTTTTATGAAGGATGCCTCATGAGTTGAACCCCTCTGACAAGTCATACCGAATGACCGTGACTGAGTTTTTTTCCTTGTACACACTGGAGGAACATTTGTGAGATCTTGTGGTTGGTAGAGAGTGGTGGGGTCCTTGCGTACATCTTGCACATGTTCCTCGCAGGATCTCTCAGAGAGAAAAGTAGATTGCACAGCCAAAAGCACATGTGCATGGGAAAAGATTTCAGTAGGTTATTGGTGGGACTTCAAAGCGGTATCTCTGGATACTAGCATAACGGTAAGGACTACAGTCCACTCTAACCAACCTCACAACATGGATGACGTCACGCTTGAATTCTTCAAAAAATACTCAATTTTTTTCTCTACCGCTCGGCAATGCGAAGACCGCATGTTAGGATCAGGCCACACCAAAAGATCGTGGATCTTGATCTGAGAATGCGACCATACCCAGCTTATTCATCAAAGTTAGCAGTCTCTAACTACTACCTTTTTTGATCCCTACCGCATCCTTAAGAAGGCAAAAATTCCGAAAATCGACGTCTACTCAAAAATGAGGTCCACCTCTTCTTCTTATCACCAGCCGATAGCCGGATGACGCCGAGCACATCCTTGCTCTCTTATCAGGCTTGGCTTTGCCCAGGCGTACTTCATAAAAAACGGAATTTATTATTTACTTGGCTGCGCCTTTACTTGCGCATTTGATCGAATCGTAATGGATGGAGCAACCCACGCGCGAGCTCACGTCCAGCTACCACGCGAGCAGCTTGTGCAGTGGCTCGGAATGTACTAAATGGTTGTCTTATGTATTAAAGGGTATTAATCACGGCCGAAATCAAACGGCATCACGGTTTATTTACTACCAGCCGGCTTTGCCGGCTGATGCCTGCACGCCTTCTTCTGAGGTAAAGAATGGATTTGCTGAGCGGGCCCGGCTCCGTTGCACTTATCCTTTCTCTCACCGGCTTTTCTTTTATACAGATAGTCAATAATCTTTGACCAATATGTTCATACGAGTGCACTACATGATTCTTTTATATAGTGAGATTGTAAACAATCACACATTGCCTCAAAGTGATACTAAAACATGGATTTTATTCGCGACTCTGCTTGCGGTTGATCCTTCCTCTATTCACCTTATCGCTTTGATTGGCGCTTTTATTATCACACTCGTGATGAGTTTCTACTAAACGCACTCTATGCTTCCCCTCCCGTACTCTCCCTCACTAATCCCACCCACCCACATTATACCCTCCCCACTCCCACTTGCCCCACCCACTCCCCATCCCGGCCGCTGCACGTGCTCACGTCCACCTGCCACGCGAGGCAGACTCGTGCTATTTTATGGAGTGCAGCTACATGGTTCTTTTATATAGTGCAGGGTGTTATCACAATCAAAACATTGGATTGATACATCTGCACCAACTGGTTTCGCCACCGGCTAGCGGTCGTATACTCTCCTACACTGACGTGTTTGAACCCGTGAAGCATTTTGCGGACGGACATACATACATACATACATACCGACAAACCGACACACAGAGTTAGTGGTTTATAGAATGTAAGGATAGTAGCCGTAAGTCCTATAAGAATGAATGAGAAACCTGTGCAAGAGAAGGGCACTAGCTCTAGTCCTTAGTGTGATTAACGCTGTAAGAATTGGAAGATGTCTTTTCGTGACTGGTAAATTTAATCCAAAAAAAATTGGTCAAGGTGTGCAGGACTTTTTGAACAACCTAATAGTTAGGTCGACCTGCTGACGACCTGCCCAGCTCGACGGCGAAATTTTCGAGGAAATTTTGGGAAAACCGGAAAATTTTCGGTGATAGGTGGTTGGGAAAAGTTGGAGGATAGTGAAGGGGTGTGTGGTAGCAGGGGACGAAATTGGGAAAGAAAATTTCCTCAGCGGCAGAACATGCCATTTTAGTTCCAGCGCGCGATGCCGTGCCCGATCTGTGAAGCCGATTTGCAAGGGAAAGACAGTATTGCAAAACTTTCGCTCCCGGGTGGGCTCGAACCACCAACCTTTCGGTTAACAGCCGAACGCGCTGCCTATTGCGCCACGGAAAGCAACGGGCCATTAGAAGGGACACCGTCCACTATTGACCGTTGTGATTGGCTGAAAACGTGATCAGAGCGTTTTTACACTGAAATTCTAAACCAATTAGTTTGTTATTGTAATTCACGGATCGTGCTCCATTGGCGCAGTTGGTTAGCGCGTGGTACTTATAAGACTGAGAAATGCCGAGGTCGGGAGTTCGATCCTCCCATGGAGCAAAAATTTTGCAACAACTCCTATCAGGCCACGTGGCCGTACACTTTCATCGTATCAGCTGTTCAACACCTGTCTCATACTTGTATTCCGACTGAATGCTTATATAGAACAAAGTAGCCTCCAGGTGACAATGGCAGTCGTGGGGGTGCAAA